GAACCTAATGAAATTAAATTTCCCTTTTAATAAGGGTTGGTTTAATTTTTTAAAAATTGGTTGGAGATTATCAAGATTTATGTGTTTATTAGTGTAATTATCCCCGCCGATCCTTATTTAAAATCAATGCAGATCACTCATTTTTAAAAGAATCACGAATTAATCTAATTGATATATATTCCTCTGTCATCAATGCCGAACTAAAAGATCATCTATAATTAAATTGTAATATTTTCTATTAAAGTTGCAGCATCTTAATTTGTCCTTCATAATCTGAAGAAAGAATACCAGTTTTATCTAGCAATTATTAATAGTAGCATTTTCCCGGACCTCTTTAACAAATTTTATTGCCTTTTTTTAATATTATTATTTGAAAATTTTAATATACTGTATTAAATATACTGTATTAAATTTAAATAATTTAAATAATTTAATCATTATAAACCTTAAACGAACGAATTATAACTCTAAATTATTAAACTATAGGTCGATGCATTGTCAAACAATAATATATTCCTATTTATTGTCTAATTTTTTTTAAATTAATATTTTATTTCATGTACTAATGCTAATTCTGTATTTTTTGGTTGAGGTTTAGTTTGTTTCATTAGGCATAATTCGCGTTTTTGTTCAGCAGCAATATATGCACGTTTTTTGAATAAGGATGATGATGATGATTGTTGAGACATTTTATATTTAAAGAAATCATTGGTTAAGAATGATTGTTATTTATTAATAATCTAATGAAAAGAAAATTTAATCTTTATTTCATCGATCATTTATATATTATTTAACAATCATTTATTGGATGAATAATTAAGTAGGATTCATAATAATCATTTTATAATAGATCTCTTTTAGTATTAAATGAATTTTTATTTATTAGACCAAATAATATTCAAAATTACCATCTAGTAGTGGTAAGTACTAATACAACCAAATTTCCAATTAATAAAAAAAAAGATGAACAATTAAAAAATAAAAAGATAAACAAATTCCTACAAACAAAATTTTTCATAAAATATCTCAACATCATCATCCATTAAAAAACGAGTATCAGTCATTACAACGAATATTAATATTGTATTATATACTGATACTTAATACAATATCCATTAAAAGGATATTAATATCCGTTTATCAAACTATGTCCGACCGGGTATCTTATTATTATCCGTTTATTATTCAAAACTCTATCCAGATATCCTATCCATTTATCAAACTCTATCTAGATATCCGCGATATACTAATAATATGAAGAAAATTGAATATAATAGTTCTACTGAATATGAAAAGGCAAGGTCTTAGTGGGCTGCGATTGTGGTTCCAAGTTTTCGAGTTCTTCCAAGAGTCTTTAATGGTGGAGTAACAAATATGATCAAGCATCTAAAAAAAATGACTTGTGCTAATAGAACTACTTACTGCAAAGATCACAACACACCCAAACATGTTTGAGTTTTATTTTGAATATAAAAATAATGGACTTATATTAATTGGTGAAATGTGTACGAAGCAGGGGATTTACATATAAAAATTTGGGGCATATTTACTAATTCAAGGAAATAATCGAAATAGTTATACAACATACAAAATTCATATCACACCAAATTTGTGCAAATCAATAGGATAAATGTGAAAAAACATGAAATCAAAAAAAAAATCTTTATTATATGTTAGAAAAAAAGAAAGTTATGTACGAAGTCGCCATTTCGAAGTTTTGGGTTAATATTTTATATATAAAATTACTCAATGTCGATCATTTTTCCATTGTTTTTTTATAATTTTTTAAATAAATAAAATCTTTTAAAGAATATAAGACGTTATATGTGATGAGTTGGTGTTTTTACATTGGTGAAGTTTGCCGTTTTGTTGGAACAGATCATAAAGGAACAACTTCGCATATAGTAGTAAATGAGTTCTTTGTTTTTCATATGTTGGATTTGTGATGAAGCCGCCATTTTGAATAATAGTAAATTTACTATGAAATTAGCCCTATGATTTTATAAAAAAATCCCCTGGTTGATAGATGATCTGCAAATTAATGATTACGAAAAGCAAAATGCCAATTGTTCGTTGTTGATAAAGATCTTATAATTACCCAGCAAGATCTGCTCCGCGTTTTGATTCCAATTAAAATATTTATAAACTAAAAAAGATACCACATTATATCAATACAAATAAAAAAAGTACTTCTATTATTAACACATTTCTTTAGGAGAGCCGAACAACAACACTCACGTTTTGTCACCTTGGACTCTGTCAAAAAAATAAATTGTTTTTCCAAAAAGAAAAAAAAATCAATTCGCGTCTGTCCTACCAAAAAAAACCAATAGGATGTGTACGCGTCGATCATATAATTTTTTTTCATAGATTTTAAATTTAAAGATGCCACGCGAACAAAGAATTCGAGATAACAACAAGGGGGAAGCGAAAGTGTAAGTGTTTTAAGGATGGTGGTGGTGGTTATCCCCCCCACTCGTTGTCACTCTAGTTTAATAAATTAAATTAATCAAATATATAAAATTTTATCAAATTATCAAATTAGTAATGACGAGAATAAAAATCAACATCTTGTTACCAATGACAATAATAAAGTAAATTATATTCTTTTGTATGATAAGACTAACTGTTTTTGTTTCTAATGAATCTGAATTTTTTTGATAACAACCCACAGGAGAACAAATTAGGCACTGCTACAAATACATGTTCACCTGAGTTAAACATTTCTAAAGCTTTTCTCTGAACCAGAGATAGTAACATTATTGAAGATTTACAACCAAAATTATTAATAGAAAATTTTAGAGATTATAAATTAAAGTATAAGATGCCAGAGGCAATTCTTATAATTTGTGACAATATCAAATCAGATAGCTTTTCAAGAACAGATCTCTTAGCCAAAGGAATTGTTTATAATAAATCGATTAGAAATAACCAGAAGGATATTTATAAAATACTAAAAAAAAGAAATTTATTCAATAAGTTATTATTAAGTAAGGATGATATCAAATTTGCCAAATATAAACTCTCAAATCCATCAAAAGAATTTATTAAAGCATTTGTAACAGATGGGAATCTGAGAATTGGTGAAAATGATGAAAAGAGATTACATTGTTCTTTGATTAGTTTTATGTGTAAATTGTAAGTGATACTAAAAAAAAGAAATTTATTCAATAAGTTATTATTAAGTAAGGATGATATCAAATTTGCCAAATATAAACTCTCAAATCCATCAAAAGAATTTATTAAAGCATTTGTAACAGATGGGAATCTGAGAATTGGTGAAAATGATGAAAAGAGATTACATTGTTCTTTGATTAGTTTTATGTGTAAATTGTAAGTGACAACACTCACGTTTTGTCACCTTGGACTCTGTCAAAAAAATAAATTGTTTTTCCAAAAAGAAAAAAAAATCAATTCGCGTCTGTCCTACCAAAAAAAACCAATAGGATGTGTACGCGTCGATCATATAATTTTTTTTCATAGATTTTAAATTTAAAGATGCCACGCGAACAAAGAATTCGAGATAACAACAAGGGGGAAGCGAAAGTGTAAGTGTTTTAAGGATGGTGGTGGTGGTTATCCCCCCCACTCGTTGTCACTCTAGTTTAATAAATTAAATTAATCAAATATATAAAATTTTATCAAATTATCAAATTAGTAATGACGAGAATAAAAATCAACATCTTGTTACCAATGACAATAATAAAGTAAATTATATTCTTTTGTATGATAAGACTAACTGTTTTTGTTTCTAATGAATCTGAATTTTTTTGATAACAACCCACAGGAGAACAAATTAGGCACTGCTACAAATACATGTTCACCTGAGTTAAACATTTCTAAAGCTTTTCTCTGAACCAGAGATAGTAACATTATTGAAGATTTACAACCAAAATTATTAATAGAAAATTTTAGAGATTATAAATTAAAGTATAAGATGCCAGAGGCAATTCTTATAATTTGTGACAATATCAAATCAGATAGCTTTTCAAGAACAGATCTCTTAGCCAAAGGAATTGTTTATAATAAATCGATTAGAAATAACCAGAAGGATATTTATAAAATACTAAAAAAAAGAAATTTATTCAATAAGTTATTATTAAGTAAGGATGATATCAAATTTGCCAAATATAAACTCTCAAATCCATCAAAAGAATTTATTAAAGCATTTGTAACAGATGGGAATCTGAGAATTGGTGAAAATGATGAAAAGAGATTACATTGTTCTTTGATTAGTTTTATGTGTAAATTGTAAGTGATCACATTAATTCTTCTGATCTATATTTTGACAATATAATCATATAAAAAATTTATGTTTATAGGGAATTTGTTTGGCATAATCCATCATTTCAAGATTGTGAATGAATGAACCTATTCTCATATGGTAATACAACCAATCATTAGTTTTTTATTTTCTAATACAGACAAATCAGTTGATATTAAATGGGATGGTTGCCAAGTGCAATCAACAAAGCAAAATCATGAAAATAATTGCCAAAGGAAATACCCAGATGGCTTTGCATATACAATGAACACACAATTTCAGCACACATATGATTTTTTTTTCTTGGAAATATCCAATGGCCCATTCTATAATGGAAATGATTTACAAGAACATATTGATGAAGATTTTGAAAGGTTAACAAAATTTGCAAAAAATAGTTATGTACATAATTATGATTTTATAGACAGATTTGAGATTAAGGATGCTTTGACTTATGTGTTAGAAAAATTGATAGTTATATGCTTTCATTTCTATCGTAAGTTGATTATAATAATTATTATTCATATATTTTAGATTTTTTAACTAATATTATTTTTAAACTATGTATAGAAGATAAGTTGAAGATATATTTAATGGACAGATTTACAGAACCTTTTCAAAGATTTTCATTGATAAAAAAGATGTATTTGCCTATCAGAAGTTATAATATTCATTTAATGATTAAGGATTTTAGTAGTTTGTGTGAGGAATTAATGGTGATAAAGAACATTATTATTAGGAATTTGGATTTAATCAAACAAACTAATAGTATATTGAAGGAACACTATGCTTAAGATTTTATTTTTAGATATTGTAATTTATAATAAAAAGATCATAATCTTCACTTTAATATAAGATCACTGGATAAAAATAATTCACTCAAAACTATATCAAAGAGCATATCTACAAATAAAAAAAACTTTTTCAAAGATTTCTTAGGCTGTTATATGTTTTAAAAGTCCAGATCATAAAATCATGGTTAACATTTTTTTTTCCTTTAAAAGAAATGTTTATTTTAAAATTTCTTTAGACAGTATATCATTTATTAATAGTTATCAGCTATTCAGTAGAAAGTTTCCTCAGCCTCAGTACTTTTATTTATAAAGTTCTAAGTTTTTTTCAATGTATTCATCAGGAAAACCAATTCCAAATATTCTACGTATAATTAGTGTGTAATTAGCATAATAAATTCTGTATGCTTATTATTTGTATATTGTTTGATTATTCTATACTAAATATTTTATAGCAAATAATATTTGCTTATTATTTGTTTAAAATTTGCATTAAAAAATATACAAATAATATTTGCTATAAAATATGTATTATATATATATAATTTAATTTGGCATATTAAATACATAAATTAAAGTGCATATTATATATGCCCATATTTAATATGCATATTTTGTGTAAATAATGCAGCTATATTTTAATATGTATTAAATATGTATTATATTACAAATATTATACACCTCAAATATTAAGCAAACAATAAGCAAACAATAAACAAACAATAAACAAACAATAAACAAACAATAAGTGAATATAGATTTGGAGTTTTTTTTTTACAAAATATGAGGTTTTTTTTAATATGTGAACTAAATTGTATCCTATTTATTGAATATAATACTTGAAATAAATATTTAAACATAATTATTAACAAAATATCTGTTTTCTTTGCTAAAATCTGGGACTATATATTATGCTTATACATGATTATCATTCATTGATGTATAAAAAAATTGATCTTATTAAACTTTTTACAAATGAAAAATTTAAAAATTTACAATTCTACCAATTCTTGAGATAAGTTGACAATCTTAGACTCATTAAAAAGCTAAAGTTCCATCATTTATCATACTAAAAAAAACATATGTAGACTTTAAAGATCATCAACAATTTAAAATATCAATAATCTACACCTAAATTACTCATTGTAATCAATTATTCATTATCATTTGATTATTATTTTCACCAGAATTCAATTGATTGAAATAAAACCTTTTATCATTCATTGATGTATTAAAAAAATTATCTTTGATTCTCTTAAACCTTTTGCAACTGATTTTGAATCCAAAAATTTAAAAATTTTGTAATTCTACCAATTATTGAGAGAAGTTGATGATCTTAGACTCATTCGAAAGCTAAGTTCCATCATTTATCATACTAAAAAAATCGTATATTGTTATTATGTAGGCTTTAAAGATCGTCAATAATTTAAATATCAACAATCTATGCCTAAATTACTCATATAATCAATTAATTTTGATTTAATCTTCACCAAAATTCAATTGATTGAAATAAAACCTTTTATAATCTTACCTCCTTAGTCTATATATTATGCTTATACATGATTGTCATTCATTGATGTATAAAAAAAATCAACTTTGATTCTCTTGAACCTTTTCTAACTGATTTGAATCCAAAAATTTAAAAATTTTGTAATTCTACCAATTCTTGAGAGAAGTTGACGATCTTAGACTCATTCGAAAGCTAAGTTCCATCATTTATCATACTAAAAAAATCATGTGTTGTTATTATGTAGGCTTTAAAGATCGTCAATAATTTAAATATCAACAATCTATGCCTAAATTACTCATATAATCAATTAATTTGATTTAATTTTCACCAGAATTCAATTGATTGAAATAAAACCTTTTATAATCTTACCTCCTTAGTCTATATATTACGCTTATGCATGATTATCATTCATTGATGTATAAAAAAATCATTTTTGATTCTCTTAAACCTTTTCTAACTGATTTGAATCCAAAATTTCAAAAATTCATAATTCTACCAATTCTTGAGATAAGTTGGCGATCTTGTACTCATTCAAAAGCTAAGTTCCATCATTTATCATACTAAAAAAACTGTATATTGTTATTATATAGACTTTAAAGGTTGTCAACAATTAACCATTTGCATTAAAATTCCTTGATTTGATTAATTAACAAAATACTGGACCAATTGAAATAAAAATACCATTTTATTAGAATGATCTTCTGCTCTGATTTATGCTTATGTTTTTGCTAAATTATTCTTGTACTTCAGATTTGATACATATAACAAAAAAAAACAATATAATTTTGTAAGTACAATGTTAAATAAATATATCTGTTTATTAATGTAGTGAGTTCTTTTAACCCATTAAATTATCATCATTACCTTTAGGCTTTCTTAAACAAAAATATATCCATCCATAAGGCTGATTTTATGGTGGTGGTAATAGTTGATCCAAAACTCACTATTCTAGTTGAATTAAAAAGATATTTATTAAAGAATTATATCATTTACTAATACTAAGGAATTATTATTATTATTATTATTATTATTATACATTTGGAATGTGGATCATAGAAGTTGTCCTTATTTCCACTGTCCATGCCTCATTTGACTACCAATGGTAATATTACTTCTAAAAAACCAAATAGTGGTTTTCTTGTTTGTGTTTTATTGAAATTACAAGCTCAAAATAATTTGCTGTGACATTATTAAGAATTGAAGGCATAACTTTGAACAGGTAATTCTTTTCCATTTTGTTAGCAAACCATAGCTAGAATTTTGCAATCTCTCGATTTTAATAGTAAAAATTGACATGTTGCACAAAATTTCTGGAAAACCAGGCTTCGAGTTTCGTGTTACGTGTAATTTTCATATGTTTAGCATAATGGACATTTGATTTCATTGGCTAAATTTTGTGATATTTGCGATTACCCCCTTTCCAAAAGTCACACACA